TTTCGCTGTAATCAGGCACCCTTCAACTTGTGTTTCCTGGGGAGTACTGGAGTGGTTTGTCCCAGTCTAGTCCTGAGGCCAAAGGTAGCTGCGAACTTTCAGAACCTCCTTACTTTTGTAGGCCTGCTGTAGCCAGTGCACTGATGGATAGGGGAATCTTACTTTTTCTTTGCTCATGAGGGGAGAAAGCAAAACAAGTCTCTTTCCATATTCTTTGATCAGCTTTTCTCCTGAAGGTTAAATGGAATTCAGATACCTTGTTTGTGATCAGGTGTTCTAGGTTTCTCTGCCTAGGCATCACTGCCTTCGACTGAGGATTGTATTTCACCACTGCTTTTAGAAGTTTGCAGTTATTTTCTTTGGTGCATTGTTATCCATGTGCTATCACTGAGAAGTGGGGATGTCGGACCTGCAGTTTATGTAACACATAAGAGGTTCATTTTTATTTTTATGTTTAACCCTTTTTCCCCCCTGTTGACAAATAACCAGTCAGTAGTTTGACAAATGGCATGGAGTTTGTGTACCACGTATCCTGTGAATATTCTTTATTTTTTACAGTCTTCTGTCTTATAAATTATGTTTTGCTGACAATTGGACTACATATCATTGCCACTATGCAGAGTGTCAGGAGGGAGACAGTATATTCCAAAGAGATGGACTCGTTTTGTTTTGTTGAAAAACTAATTTTGGGTTCTTAATTTTTCCTTAACATTAAATTCTTACAGGAACTATATTCTGTCCATAAGTGCTTCATCAGGCCTCATCGCCCTCCTGTCTACTGGCTCCAAGTAGACCATGTCAGCTTCAGCCCCTGGCTTTGTGTCCACGGGTGGCCTGTGGTTGAAAAGGAGTGGGGTGGTCAGGGTGGGAGACACATCAGATGTTTTTATAGTCTGGAGTTTGAAGGTTTGAAAAACTCAGCACAGTGTAATTGAATATTTGTTTATTGGCTCTTTTTTGACAGACTGAAATTACATGAATTGAAAGGGACACTCAGAGTACCAGGACATTTATTAAAAGGCAAAGAGTGTCTCCCAACGTGCTATAATCACAAGAGGAGAAAATAACTTGTTTCTTTGATTTGTCAGAGGTCGCGGTAACCTGGACTGAACTGTTGTTATTTGTAATAGTAGCAAGAAGTTAATTGCTGGTTCTGTGTGTTCCAAACACAATATTACAACTGTTTTGGAACCATGAATACCAGAATGAATCCTCTTCCTTCCCCTTTTCCCTGGCTGGGGGGTGGGATTGAACTTCGTGTTTACAGGTCTCTGAATTTGTGATTTGAAATAACTCCATTAAAGTTAAAAACATGGTTTCTCCAATTTGGGGAAGAGAAACTTGTGGAAAAGTTCTTTTTTAAAAAAAGACGAAAGGCAGCCACGGTAATAACCTAATGATAGTGCCCCGGCATATGGGAGTTGTCCTGTGGGGTTAAAGACACACTGCTCAGCTGTAGCCTTGGCCTTGGGTAGCCAAGGAGGTCAGTTTGACCATCCCATGTTAGTTTGACTTGTTGAGAGACTGGCACCATTTTCTTGGAGTGGATCTCTACTGCTGGAGGAATGTTCCCTGAGAGAGAAAACCTCTTTCTTGAATATTGACATGTAAAAGACCAAAGTAATTTTTGTGGTCTTAGCTCCAGAATTCTAAGAGCATACCAAGGAATTAAAGTGATTTTAGTGCTTCTCAGCGTTTTTCCATTCAGACGTTCACAAATTTGACCTTTTAGTCCACTGGTTCCCATCGATTGTGAGTAAGATACTGATCTATTCAGCCCTTGGGGGTCCAGTCAAGGGCAGTTTCTTTCATTTTTTAAACTAGTGTGTATACAGATGTTATTTTCCATGTGTGCCATGATTTGAAAAATTTTGGGAAGCCCTTGGAATCCCAGGTGACAGTGGTTTCCTATTCCTGGTAGCTTTGACCACATCCAGTAATTTCTTAAAAGCACTACCTCAAAGGAAATCTATTTCTACTTCCTAATCCCAGCTATAATCTTTAGTTTCCACTTCTAAATTGAAGATGAATGTTGCAAATAATACTTGATGTTTCATTTATAACTTCATAGAAAGAGTCATCAGGAGTTCATTTTTCCATGCTGTTAGGTGTTTTAGTTAGGTTGCAAACAAGAACTTGGAAGAAGACAGGGAGGAGTACACTTGCATAAGTGACCCAGTGCATCACTGCCTTCGACTGAGGATTGTATTTCACCACTGCTTTTAGAAGTTTGCAGTTATTTTCTTTGGTGCATTGTTATCCATGTGCTATCACTGGATAGACAGTGAATGGGGATGTCAGAAGAGATTCCCTGCAAAGTAGTTAGTGTAACACATAAGAGGTTCATTTTTATTTTTATGTTTAACCCTTTTTCCCCCCTGTTGACAAATAACCAGTCAGTAGTTTGACAAATGGCATGGAGTTTGTGTACCAGATGTGTTTGCTTACTCAACGAAATGACTGACAAACCGTCAACAACTACTGTTGCTAGAGCTGGGCCAAGTATCTTTTTAAATTGCAGTTAAAAAATTGCCGCTAGATGGCAGTGCCTGTTTAATGGGGGAAGAATTGCCGCCATTCTTAGTGTATGCACTGTAGCTGAGTTGAGGTGGTGAAATAGGGGCATCAGCGTAGTATTCTTCAAAGACTTTCTTTTGAATAATGAGCTGAATAATTCATAGAAAAGCAAGTAAGCATAATTTTATTTTAGTTCTGAATTTTTCTTATAGCACTCTTTTTCACCCTGATGATGATTTCTAGCTTCCTATATTAGGTAGATTTCTTTGTGCAAGTTGCTAAGGCATGTATTCACAGTCCCGCAGTTCTGTGCAGGGTAGCAGTAGTCTGCTCTTGTGCATTACGGAACCTCTTCCCCAGTCCTCTCCCTGCCATCTAACGTGGCCGTGTGGCACTCAGAATTATGATGTGTTGAGTTTGGTTTAATTGGTAAAAACTTGCTGGAGAATTTTTATCTCAAGAAGACTTTCAGATCAAACACCAAGAAAATAAAGGGTTCTGTTATAATTGGGATTTGAAATGATTAAATTCCTTTATTACACCCCTTTTGATAACTAGAGACTTAAGGTATTGGAGCATTTTATATTCCCCTATTTTTAGTTTCTTCACTTACAACTTAATAAAGAGCTTGGGTTGAAATTATTCTTAGCCTGTAAAAAATTTACTGGTTGTCCTATTTGGTATATTATTCTAATTTGGAAAGAGTAATTTAAAACAAGTTTTATACTTAATTGAAATATGGAGGTTGGATTCATATCTAAAATTCTTGTGAAAGGTCTCACTAATTAAGTATCATTAAACTTTGCTTTTTAAAATTTGTTTTTCCCTAGACTTCTTTATGAGAACCATATAAACAAGTACATCATCTTTATATTACATTATTTTACATTGCCCAGCATTTTAAATTTCCCACACATGTAAATGTGCATTTTTGTAGTTACTGATCAAATGTTTATGTGGCAACGTCTGGCATAGTGTGCAGTTACATTACAGGGCAGAACACCAGGTCTCTTTGCCAATACGGGCCTGTTGGACTCCTAAGCAGGGGAATTAATTTTAGATTAGGAGTGGTTTTTAAGTGGTTGGTTTAAGTTTTCATGATGGTAGTTAGAGACTAACTTTTCATTGGCTTTCATGAGTTCTAATTATCACTTCTTTGTCCTTTCCCTCTTAACTGATTCTGGATTTGGATTCATATCCAAACTTTAACTTTTAAAAATTCACACACAGTTACTTTTTCACAAAGCTTTAAAGCTAAAAAAGACATTTGTACTTAAAAGAACACTGAAGAAAATACTTGGATTCTAGGCCTGGTTCTGCCATCAGCTAGCAGTGTGAGTTTGGACAAGACCTGCTATCTTTTCATGCTTGGTTTCCTCACTTGCCAAGGAGGGCTGGTGTGGAAGATGGCCAAGGTCCCTTGAAGCTCTAATGTCTGTCTTATGACCCGTGGCACACTATTAATGAAGGTGAAGTGACAGTTCTTCAAGGGGGCAGCCAGGCCCAGGGTTTTTAGTTTTCATTTCCCCTGGGTGAAGTTTCAGGATGTCAATGGCTGCTACCCAGGCCACTGTTAGGGATGCTATGTTCCGTCCCAGGGAATTCTTTCCAGAAAAGAAACTGAAATCAGAGTGCATGGAGATTTTTCTAAGGATATAATTGTGAAATGTATGTCTTACCTAGTGTATTTACCACAGCAGATGACATATATAAAAAAGGCTAGCTGTTCCCACAGCCAGACAATGATGTTTGTATTTGCTTTTAATTTGCAGGCTCTTTTATTAATAAGTGAGTTTGAGAAGCTTCAACCTTAGTGTAGGATACTTCTAAAACCTGATGAGAAATAATATTTTCAGTAGCTAATCATTTACTCCATTAATAAGAACGGTATAGATAGCAGTTTAATTCTTGATCGCTGCTATTTTTCTTAGATATCATTCAGTGCAGCTTACCTGTCAACATACTTTTTATTAAAGGACTGGTAACTGCCTGTGTTATGGAGCTGGATAGGGGGAGATATATATCTCCAGATGTGTGTGTGTGTGCGTGTGTGTATATGTATGGCCTTATAGTGAAAGAAAGATCAGCTAAAAACTAATTGTGAGATTAAATGCACAAAATGCTTTTATTACTCTAAGCAAATGAATAAGTTAAATTACAGCTTCAACCAGACAACTTCAGCTCATTTATACATACAGTAGTTCACTGGATTGATTGAATATACAAAAAGAACTGAAAGATGATCCATTTTCATCATCATTCTGATGCTTTGGGGCCAAAACCCAAACTATTTCCTTAATTGAATACAGGTAGTAGTGACCAAAGAGGAAATTGATTGGTATTTCACATTAACATTTTGAGATTTAGAACTTCACTATGAAATACATATCTGGAAGTGATGGCAGAAAATAGCATTTAAAGCTGATAGTATATTTCTCCTGTAAGTCTCAAAATGATTTCTATATGAGGAATCAGATGGCCAGAAAATTAAATTAGAATTTTGTACATGCTCAGGTGTCCAAATTGAGTTATAGGATTCCCACCCCCAACACACACCCCCAAAGAGACAAAAAAAATTTTTTTTCTTCTAACAGTTCCACACAATATATTCTCAAAATTTCTCTCACATGGAGTATTCATGAGGGTAGGTAGCCAGTAGTGGCAGGGCTAGATAGACCTCAGCTTCTGAGTGCACTAAAGCTAGGCCACTTTAATCCATGCAGTGAGCTTTCATGCATATAGTTTAGTGCACATAATGTGACTATAGAATCAGGAGGTTCTTTAACATTTTGCTTTTTGTTGGGCAAGTTAATTCACCCAGCATATGCTGAGTAGTGACAATATTTTTCACAAAGCCCATGATTTACTTTCATGTTATTAACTCCTCAAAAACACCAAACATATTGTAAAATCCCAGTGCTAATTAAACAGCAAACATTTGCCTTTCTGGGTATTTTACAGGTTTACTTAAAAAACCTGAGCCTGTGTATATTTACTTTCAAAGCTCAAACATATAAACTTGCAGAAGTTGTGCCTATAAGCAGTCAAAAATATAAAGCAGGTTTTCATAAAATGTAGTCAAAAATGAACACTTCATTGCAAATGCATTACATTTTATTCAAAGCTAAGCTTCCATAGTAGCGTAATCCTCCCTTTTCATAAATTTACCATAATGTTGCTTCTACCATCTCTACATGTAAATGAACATAACATTAGGAGAATACTAATAGACACCGTGGATAAGTTGCCATACAGGGTCATTCTTGGGGCTAAGCAACAGTGAATATTTAAAAGGCAATGAAAGTAAATAACTAGAAGTTACAGTTCTGTTGGAAACGATTCGTGAAACAACTTGCTAACAGGAATGTGAAAATAGAAAAAAAAAAAAAGTTAAATTAGTTCTGCTTATTTTCCCAAGCAGGACTTCTGAGTGAACTTAGCCTACTCCTTCTGATGCAATCCACATTGCATTGTGGATTTTGTTCATTTGTAAAAACATCTCTCTGTATAGCCTTCTTTACGTTACTAAATGCCTGAAGGTAATACGTCTTTCCTGCCCATCTACTTTCTGTTGCATTAGCATGAGGTGTACAGAGCAATGCAAGAATAGGTGACTCCAGTCCAAGATAAGAAAATAGAATGGATTTCCTTAGGCATGAGTTTTCAGATGTGCTCATAATTCAGGTGCACAGTGGTAGCGACAGCAGACACCTCAGAATCCTGGGACACTAGAGGTTGAGCATCAGCTGCTAAGTGATTTAAAAGACTGGCTAGTAACACCTTTCAGTATCGGTGTAGGCCGATATTTTAACCATGCAGCGCCTGTGGCTCATGCATTGCCTTATGACCTGTAGTCCTTTTTGCTGTAGGGCTTGTTGCGCAATATGTTATCAATCTCATTTACCACGTGTGATGTCATCTTTGGGAGAACCTGAGAGCACGAGAAGTACAAAGGATGTCGTTAGTACTCGATACTTGTTTTTTATGCTCGATGTTAGGCAAAGTTGTCCAGCCTGGTGTACGTTTATGAACCATGACTGAAACATAAGCTCCCCCACAAGACTGTAAGCTCTTTGAGGTCAGGCACCTTGTTTTGTTCACCACTATTGTCTCCAGTGCCTCTAAGAGTGCTTGGCCCATAGTTAGTGCCTATAACTATTGATTGACTGAATAAATGAAGACATAAGATACAAATGAAGGCTGAAAGAAATACATAATATCCAGAGCAGCTCTGCCCAGTAGAAATATGGTGTAAGCCACATAATTTTAGATTTTCTAGTGGCTACATTAATAAAAGTGAAAAGAAACAGGTGAAATTAATACAGGATTTTATCTTATATTCAAAAACATCACTTCAACATGTCAGTATAGAAAACTCTTAAGATGTTTTACATTTTTTTAAAGTACTAAGTTTTTCAAATCTAGTGTGCATTTTACATTTACACTGCATTTGGACTAGCTACCTAGCACAGGCTAAATAGCCACATGTGGCTAGAGGCTACTGTACTGCACATCACAGGTTTAGAGACTAAGGAGGGAATTTTATTAAACCATTTTTTAAAAATTTTTATTTCTAAAAGGGAAGGGAGGGGGAGAAACATCTGTGTGGTTGCCTCTCACGCACCCCCCACAGGGGACCTGGCCGGCAACCCGGGCCTGTGCCCTCACTGGGAAATTGAACCTGTGACCCTTTAGTCCACAGGCCAGCAGTGAGTCCACTGAGCCACATCTGCCAGGGCTAAGGAGGGATTCTTTAGCACTGGTGGTCAGAACACTGGTGAAGGATGGCCAGGGGTTAACAGGCATCCCGGATAGATGGAATAGCATGAAAAAGTAAAATGTCCATGAAATGGAGTGATGCAGGTGTAAAAGGAGTGGAGGAGCTATGGGAATGGTAGGAATTGGGGAAGGAAGTTGGGGTAAAGAGAGAGGGTGGAAGGCCTTGAATATCTTTGTTTTGTGTTTGTGTTTTGAGTTGGGACTTTGTTCTGTAGACAGTGGGGGAACCTCTCAGAACTCAGCTGGGGTTGACTCTATCAGACACCTAGTGGTAGTTTTAAGGAAAAGTTGGAACAGATTGAAAGGGGACAAGGAGGTAGGAAATTTATTGTCCTAGGCAGTGACACTGCGGCTTAACTAGGGGCCGGGGGGCCAGTAGGACGGGTGGGGGACTGGAAAAGGGGCGTGGGTCTGAGGCACTGTGGGGGATGCTAGTGATTTCCTGACTGTGTGACTAGAAAGACACTGATGTAGGTTATCGAGATTGGAACCCGCAGGAAAAGTTTCGAGTCGGGTGTGTTGAGTTCTAGGGGCCTGTGGGATGATCGTGTGGAAATGGCTTTGTTCACAACTGGAAGCGCGGAGGTGCGACTGTAGAGCTTGCTAGTAGCAGGACTGGAGTTGAGGATTCGAGTCATTTGCACCAATATGCTAATTGAAGCCCTGGGACAGGATGAGATCACCCAAGGCTGGCATTTACAGTGAGAAGTGGGGCAAGGGCACACATTACACCATAAGACAAGGGACAAAGGCGGACTTCTTCACAGGAATAGCCTGACCCTGCATGGAGACTGTGATGAAATACAGTTATGACAACCAATTCTGTGGTTTCAGCCTCACCCTTCCTCTGCTGCAATCACGTTGGCCAGGGTGACCTTGTCCTCACTCAAGAGCTAGACCTTCGTGTCTGGCAGAGCAGCAGAGCTGCTCCGCTTGGGAAACTGGTTCTGGTTAATGTTTTTCTACTGGAAGCTGAAGGAAGAGTTTGATTTTCCACCAGTACTGGAGTCTCTGAAGATCTAAACTAATGTGTTACTTAAAGTGAGATTGCAACAGTGAGACCCAAATCTAGAAACTGGATTTGTTGGAAGTTTTGTGCTAAAATATCGTGGGTGAACCATGTGAGGAAAGAAACTCTTCATTCATTACACCAAAATAAATTTCAAATAGAGATTTAAACATTTAAAAAAGCCAAAACCATAAAAGCACTTGAATAAAACATGAAAAATGTATATATAGTGTCACAAGGCCTACATTTTCAAGAGAAGCCACCCAGAATTTTATGTGAAATTGCCCGAGTTTTTAAATGTTGACAGCTGTTTTAAAACATTTTCATCTACAGATCACACAAACATCCCACAGGCCACCAGTTTTGCAATGTCGTTTTGCAATGTACTGACTAGAATTTGGGGGGCGGGGGCGGTCTGGCTGGTGTTGCTGGAGTCAGTGGGGTGTTAGGGAAGTCCTCCCAGGGTTGGTCACTGTTGAGTCGGACCTTGGGTTGGAGCAGGATTTTCGTAGGCTGGGCGGTGGGCGCTTTATAGGCAGAGGACCACTGTGGCTTCTGGGGACCCGAGTGGCTCACGGTGGCTGGTGGTTAGGGTCCAGGGAAGATGAGCCCGAGTTGCGAAGGGCCTGACTGCCAGGGGGCCTCAGAGGCTTTTGAGGCTGGTAGGGTGGAGGGGGAACGGCGGTGCCCTCCGCTTTTTAGGTAGAAGCGGGGAGGATGGGGGCCTGTGCAGAGGATGGTGGGCCACCTGCAGCTGTGGCTTCTCCTCTCCCATCCCCCTGTCTGTTGACTTACATGTGCCCCTCTAGTTCACATACAACTTACACATATTTGATCCCTTGGAACGGTGGTCTTGACGGGCCCGCTAGAAGTTTCCTTTCAACTGTTGGCACTGCAGCTTTCTACCCTGCAGCCAGCCTCAGCACTGCTGGGAACCCCAGCCCCCAGCCGACCTCCCACCCATGGAGGGGCCCAGTCGTAGTTGCCTGGGGTGGATCCGTAGGTGCCAGGCTGGTGGAAGACGGGAGTAGGAAGGGGGCATGGTGGATGCCAAGTGTCCGTGGGGGCAGCCTCCCTTTTTTGGATGACCTCCCTTTTCTCTTAGAGCATGGATGGCCCACCTCGCTACCCGCCAGGGCCTTGCTGGGGAGGAGATGCTTTGGGTTGATGACTTAGTTGTCCTCTGAAGTGGACCCTCGGCTACCTGGAGTGCTCCCACTGCCCAGTAGTGACCTCTCTTTCCCATCCCAGGCCTGTTGACCGTACTGGGGGGCAGGGCTCACAATGTAGTAGCATTACAGGAACCCTCAGTTCCTCCCCCACTTCTTGCCAAGCTCTCAGCAAATCCTGCCTCTATTTCCAAAACCTGCAGGATCCATCCCGCCTCACCTCCATGGCCACCGTCACCTGTCACCCGGACTGCTGCCCTTGCCTTTCTTCTTTTTACTTCCCACACAACAGCCGGCACAATCTTTAGAAATTCAAATAATAACATGTGCCTCCTCTTCTTAAAACTCTCCAAAGGATTCGTTACATGTAGAGCAAGACCCTGACCCGTCTCGTGCCCTGTGAGATCTGAGCCCAGCCGGCCACTCCACTCCAGTGCGTCCGCTGCCCCTGGGCTCCCTGTGTGCTTTCTGCACCAGTCCTAGGCTGGCAGTTCTTGGAAGAGGCCAAGTTCCTTCCCACGTCGGCCTTGACCCTGCTCCTCCTTGTGTCTGGAATGTGCTTTCCTGGATTTCCATATGCTGTGTCCTCACAATCCAGGCTCCACATGACCCACAGGGAGCTTGGCAAGGATGTTATTTGAAGCGGGCCCACCCATTTCTCAAGTAGTCTCTATGACAACACCCTCTTTACAGTAGCCCCCCTCACAATTATTATGTATCTTTCCCACTAGAATGTAAGCTCCTCGGAGGCGGGACAGTATGCTTTAGTGCCGGCCTGGTCACAGTAGGCTCTCAGGGGTCTCCTGAATGAGCTAAGGGGTAGATGCTAATTCACTCTGAGCCAGCCTGTGGGCTCTTGGGGGCAGGGTCCTATTCGTAGCCCAGTACTCTCTGCCTGGTGTGGTGCCAGACAGAATACGTGCTTGATACATGTTAGTAGAATTGAAATCATTGGATGGAGTTCCAGTTCTCTTGGGTACAGACTGTTCCCTTATTTCCTCACCATCACTGGGTAGCCTTCATCTTCCCCCTGAGCCTCAGCACAAAGAAGGGATGGTGGGGTGGCTTTCCTAAGCGGGAGCATTCCCCATGCAATGGCGGAGAATCCCCAGAATCCAGGAGAGCTGCGGAGCTCCCAGGGGTTCTTGGGAGCAGAGGCGGAGATGATTACACGGCTACACCGCCCCACGAAGGTGACGGTGGGGAAGGAAGACCACACCACTCACCTCTCAGCATATTCTGGGCTATTCAAAAGGGTTTTTAAACATTTTAAGTTTAATGAAATTGGTCCTCGCCGCCATCTGCTTCTCTTGGGAGAGGTGACAGGGCAAGATAACTGCTTGCTTCAGGGACAGGTGGACAGGGAAGAGGCCGTGAGACGGTTCTGTTTCCCAGCGAGCAAGAGGAAAAGACACCTGTCGGGCAGGGGTTGGCTATGGCAAGCGTCAAGGGCGGGCTCCTTCTGGGGGTCCTCAGCAGGGCTCAGGACTGGGACACGGCAGTCTGCCCAGGGCAGGGAGTGGGGAAAGGCACCCCTGAATTTCCTGCAGGGAGCTGTAACCCTGGAAGGCCAAATTAGAATTCTGATGCTATCTGTTTTAAAACAACATGGCAAACTTTCCTTCCATAGGTGTTTCTTGAGCGTGACTAAGGGCTGTACCGTGTGCTAGCACTGGAAATCAGTGGAGAAGCAAGAAACTACGGGTCTCTGACCTCAGGGAGCTTACGGTTCAACAGGGGCGACGTTACACTACGCAGCCGTGCGTGCTGTGATGGGAGAGGGAATACGGGACGCTGTGAGAGCACCCTAGGCCGGCAGGAGATGTTTGTGGAAAGAACGAATGAGTGTGTTGTCCTGTGGCGGTTGCATTTTAAGTAGGTTATTAGGCAGGCTTTTATGGTCAGGCCCGGGGACCCAGTCACCAGGTGTAACATTGCTTGGATTGTGGAATGCCTGTCCCACAGAAACAAAACATCCTGAGAAGTGAGGTTTGAGACCATCGCCTGTTACTCAAAGGACGCTCCCCAATCCATGTACTATAACTTGTGTTACCCCTTGTTCTTTCGTCCACTTCCCCTCCCTGCTCATCCCCACACCCCCAATCTGAGGACAAGTAGCCAGTTAGGAACTTCCGTGCAACCGGGCAGCTCTGACATGAGGAAGGACAGAGGTGGGGAGAGATGGGTCCCTGCCTGGGGACAACCTCAGAGACACCATGAAATTCCCTGGAGGGCTATGGCACTTGCCTGAATAGCACCCAGGTTCTCGATGAGCTGCTCAGGCGTGGATGATCCCAGGAGCACAGAACTCACGCCCTCGTTTCTCAGGCACCATGCTGGGAAGAGACAACACTGGGTCAGAATAGCAAAGCCCTTCTGATTATTGATTAGCTTATAACCACCACCTACAGCCATCGTTGTTGCAGCCAAAGCTTACTAACTTTGTGGGGGAGGATAGACCGCACTCTCCAGGATCACAAACCTTGGCAGCAGCCCTGTCCCGGAGAGGATTTGGTAGCATCCCTGCATTTGAAATGTGGACTTAAAGCTCTGCGCTTTCTACATGGGGCCTTGCCCTAACCACTGGGGCATCTAGTCTAGCCACCCGCCCCAGGTACACGCTCTTGTCCCTGCACACACCTGCTGCCGCTCACTGGCAGATGTCTGTGTCCCCATGGGCCCCCAGCCTCCTGCCTTCCATCATCCGCGCTCTCACTTCTCCATCGTCTGTTCTGTGGAGTCCTTGCAGACTTTGAGTGTCTGGTTCCTTCATTTCCACCTACCTGTCAGCCCTCACTGGACCCTTTCTTCCTCACACAAAATTCATCCTGTACTGATGATCTCCCCAACCCTCAAATCCCTCACTCCTTCCTCTGCCTCTCAGGTAACCTCTAAAATCCTCTGTCAAGCCCTGCCCCTTGCTCTCAGCAGATAACCAGGCCTTTGTGAAAAATTCAGTCCGTCCATCGGGTGGGATATTCCTTAATTCCCCACTCTCCCACGGACATAGTCCACATCCACATCCACCAGTTTCAGAGGATGCCATGTGCTGTTTTCTGTCTGAGGCCAAACTCTGCCCTGGATCTGTCTCTTTTTGTCCTTTCTTGGACATGATTCATTCATTCTTTCCCTATCTCTCTCTCCTTGTGGTTGCAATAGACTTCTCAGTTCACAGCTGCCTGGCACTAGATGACTCTCTAGGCCCATAGATGCAGTGTCTGCTGATGTCCCTGCTAGGCGTCCCAGAGGCACCGCAGACTTCTTGCTGCTCTCTACTAAGCCTCTCTCTACTATGTTCCCAATCTCAGTGGGTGGCTTCACCAGCAACTTGGCCTCCCAGTCTGGGAATCTGGGACTTATACTTAGGGACTGTCCTTTTCTGATCTCACATTCTCCTTTAGTTGCCAAGTCTAGTTGATATTTAAATATTTCTCTAATCCAGTGGTTCTCAAAGTTTAGCATGTGTGCACCAGAACCTCCAAGGGCTTTTGAGACACCAGATACTGGGTGCCACCCCCAGGGTTTCTAACTCAGAAGCTCTGGGCAGGCCTAAGGATCTACATTTCTCTTTCTTCCTTTCATCTTTTTTTAAAAAGTTGATTTGAGAGAGGGGGGAACATTGATTTGTTGTTCCACTCATTTATGCATTCATTCGTTGCTCCTTCTATGTGCCCTGACCAGGGACTAAACCCACAGCCTTGGTATAGCACGATGACGCTCTAACCACCAGGGACAGAGAATCTGCATTTCTGACAAGCCCCCGCATGATGCTGATGCTGCTGATCCAGGGACCATGTTTTCCTTTTCTTTTTAAAAAACTTTATTGAGGTAAAATTTACACATCAAAAATTTTTTACCTATTTTGTGTACAATTTTTAGTAAATGTATCAAGTATGCAACTATCACCATTTTAGATCCAGGTTTAGAACATTTCCATTACCTCAATAAGCTCCTTCGTGCCTATTTACAATGTTAATCCCATTCCTACTGCCAACCCCAGGAAACCGCTAATCTACTTTGTGCCCTTAGGATTTATTGTTTCTGGGCGTTTCATCTAAACAGAATTATTTCTTTCACTTAGCAGGTTAGTGAGGTTCACCCATGTTACAGCGTGTATGAGTGTGTCACTTCTTTTCCTCGCTGAGTAGCACTGCATTGTGTGGATGCAGGGACCGCAGCTGAGAACCACGGCTCTGGTTCAGCTGGCCGCTGCCCTCCAGACCCTCACCTGCCCCTGCACCACCGGCTGCCCTTCCTCTTGTTTAGTGACCCCCACCCCCCACAGCTTTCTTCACACATCCAGCGGCAGTTTCTCCACATACAAATCTGACCGTGTCGCTTGTCTGGCTTCTTCAACATGTGCCTGAGGTAGTCCTTCTTCTTTGAGATGACGTTCTCATTTCTCACCCTGGCAAACCTTGCTTTCTAGCCCGGCCCTCCAGCTTCATGCTCCTTTGTTTCCTGCCTTGAACTTTGTGCTTCAGAAGCACCGAACTGTTTGTAAATCCTGTCCATCCCCTTGGCTCAGGCAGTCTCCTTGGCCTGGAATGTCTCTTTGCCTCCTCCCTTCACTCCTATCTACTCATCATTTGAGATTCCTCATGGGAATTACCTTCTCCCAAAGCCCTTCCCGGAGTCCAAGGCTGGGTTGGGAGCCCGTAGATGTTGCTTCCAAAATCCCCTGGCCTTTCCCAATTGTTTCACTGCAACACTGTGTTACTGTGATCTGCTTATTTTTTTGACTTTCCCATCCGGCTGTGAGATGTGTTTTATTTGTGGTTGGATTCTCAACACTCAGCCTAGTACCTGCACATAGTACATGCTTAGTAAATGTTTGTTGAATAAACATAGGCATGAATGATTGATGGGTGGAAGAGGGTCCGAGTGCCTCTTCTGCCCCATTTGCTCAAGGCCCTTCTGTCAATTAATACTCTCAAGCTCTTACCATGCTCAGGCCTTTTAAGGCAATTGCTAAATCTTTCCACATGGCAAAATAATGCTCTATAAAGGCAACAAGCCAAGTGATCAAGTGATTCAGGGCCTTTTTTTTTTTTTTTTTTTTTGTGGCTGTATTATTTCCTGCTTTGCACTTACAACTTTTTGGTGCTAGTGGAAGTTCTGAGGGCAAAGCAGGGGACTGGAAAAATCATTGCCCATAAACTACTTGGTATCAGCAACAGCCAATTTCCCACTCTGGGCTGCAGGGCGTAGGCGAGCCCGCTGGGCAGAACTGGCTAGCTGCAGAGTAACACATGCAGATGATTCTAGATAATTAGCATCTAACCAAGTGTCACTAAGCAGGCAGTGCAGAGTGGCTCTTGACCAGCAAGGTGTGAATGCTGACCCCTGTGCTGGTACCTAACAAGGAAGCCTGCCCACAGTTGGCGTTCAAGTACTTTGCTTCCTGCTGGAGGATTTTCCCTACCCCACACCCTTCTAGCAGATCAAAGGTAATATGCTTGGAAATAATTCCTCCCATGGTTTGAGAGTTCTGTGGTTAAAAACAAAATGACTTGTTTATAAAACATGGAAAAAAAAGACAGGCAGGATAGACATGTGCGGGCACAGAGGGAGGAAAAGGAGAAACAAAGCATGTTTTAATTTAAAAGCAGATTCTGTAGAGGATCTTTCGTGGATATCGAACATCCAGTGGAAGTCTAAATCCTGTAAAGATTTCCTCCTTAGAAAGACAATGTTCCAACTTCTGAGTTAAATTTAATACTCACTTTCATGGCACTACCTAAAAACCATATTTATGACTGTTTCAGGGATAGCTGTGGCTCTGTGACTGTTACTCTGACCCCATGTCATGGCTAAGCGTAGATTCAGTTTCAGGTCCACGGTGTCTAATCTTTGCAAAAACATCCTCATCCTCATCATCACTGTTGCCATTACTACAAAGGACACCAATTCTTTGCTTTACACATGTAATTTCCCTTTACCCAGCAAGTTTGTATGATATATATTACTTTACCCATTTTACAGATGAGAAAATTGATAGCATGTTAAATAGCTTGCTGATGGTCAAATAGCTAATACTTTTTACTGTGTTCATTAAAGCTATAGGGATGCTAACTAATCACATCAAATATATTCTTTTTTTTGTTGGGTTTTTTTTTTTTTTTTGGTAGAAAGGAAAGCAACAGATCCGTATACTTAGGTAAAGAGTATTCTCCTCCCCACCCCCAAACCACCTCCCATTCCCATCTTTCTATGACTTAACTGCAACTACTGTTTCCTGGCCTTCTGATCTCAGAAGGGTCAAGCCTCTAACGAATACTCTATCACATTATTTTATTTGCCTAGGACTTACCTTGAGCTTCTTGTTGTTGTTGTTGTTGTTGTTGTTTTAAATCTCATTAGGACACTGTATCTGATTTGTCCCCATTCCTACTATTTCTTAATCCTTAGGGTTTTTTTCTTTCTATACTGTACACCTGTTTTATTCTTTTCCCTCAGTGTTGGCTAGGACAAGGGTCTCAAGGTCTGGGCCATTCTTACTATTGTAAATGCCCTTCTTGCTGTATATTAAAATGCAGCACAGTGTTTTACAGCTACCTGTAAGCAGGATGAGCTTGACAGTAACCCAACCCAATAAGTAGCCAACTGAAATCAACGTGTAGTTGGCCAGCTGGTATATAAGCAATGGCTAAATCTCCCTTCTGGAGACATAGCTTTGGATAGGAATCCCCTACCTTTTTGCTCCAAGTAAATAACACTACCTTGTGACAACTGTGTCTCATTCGTGAATAAAGCACCCCAACCTGCGAACACCTTAAGTTTAGGAACACCAGCTACCACATGAATTCTTTTGTCTTCAGTTTCTTTGTAGAGTGGAGATAATAATAGCAGATACTTCATTAACGTCTATGAGATAGGGCTTGTAACAGAGATAGGGCTTGTAACAGAGAGAGGGCTTGTAAGAGCATGCAGCCTATAGGCATGTTTTGATGATTCAGGGGACCAGGCAGTGGCAGAAAGTGTTTATCACAGAGCCTGGCAAATATGCCACAGCAAGGAAACTGAAAGTCTAAATGCTTTTCTGTCCAACACCCAGTCACTAACCACATGTGCCTACTGACACGAGATGTGGTTAGGCTGCATTGAGATGTGCTGTAGGTGTAAAATACATTTTGGATTATGAAGATTTAGTATGAAAAAAAATTAAAGATCTCAATAACTTTTATAGTTATATATGTTGACTATGTTGGGTTAAATAAAATCCTTTAGTAAAATTGATTTCACCTATGTCCTTTTGCCTTTTTGAATATGGCCACTAGAACATTTAAAATTAAATATGTGGTTCACATTATATTCTCTTGGACAGCTCTGGTGCCTGAGGTTTTCGGGTATTACCAGTGACCACGACCTCTCATCAACTTCACAGCTGAGAAGAGCAATGCTCACAGCCCCTCGGAAGTTTCAGGGTGAAGCTGCTCCCCCAGGATAGGCTTCCCGTGTGGCAGTGGCCCTGGGCCTCTCCTGCAGCCTGCTCTTCAGCCTCTCGCCACCCTTGCCTAACCTTTGACAGGGGAGAAACTTGAGCCAGAAGAAATGGATGTCCCTGCCCAATTCAGAGGGCACTCACCCCTGACACTGTGAGGATGTGTGCGTTTTCACTCATGGGTTCTCATTTGAACTGTGTTATAAGGGAGAGGGGAAGGAAGGAAGAGAAGTTTTTTAGCACGCAGAGAACTCTGAGGAACTTGAAAACCTCATTTGAGATAGCGCTAACCCGGATTTTATGTCCCAGAGATCAGTCTGCCCTACCACAGATATTTTATCACGGGAGGGATGCGGACCAAGCAGAGAGAACTGCCGTTTCTGTGCTCCGGCAGAGCCCGTCCCTGGTGGTCGTCTTACCAACAGCTAGCTGAGGGAGTGTGCAGCCCAGACGCTCGGCAATTGGGGAGAGGTCTTTTAATTTGTTTTGCTGTTTTCTTCCTTCTTCACTCACAATTCTTTCCTTCAACCACTGGTAGCACTAGGAATAAAAAGAGCATTGAAATGTTAATGTCTGGGAAGGGTCTGATGTCAGAGGTTGCTAACTCAATAAAAAAATATCAGAACCTCCTGGTGAATTCCTGCATCTCCTTGACTCTGACCTGTGTGTCTCACGGTGACAATGATGCCTGTGCCTCAGGCAAAGAAACATTCCTCATGGTCTCGTTCCTTGTTTATTGGTTTGAAACAGAAATCCATCAACATGCCGAAACGTGGTTAAAATCCTGACATAACCAATTATATCCAGTTTGCTAAGTGGAAGAAATGATGTTTCTTATTGGGATAGCCTGATTTTAGAATGTAGCAAAAGAAAAGCATTTATATTTCACCAAGGTCTTTTGTGTCTTCCTCTTCAAGAAAGTTGGGTGCTAAGCTTCCTGCTCAAAGAAAGCCATTATCTTGCATTCTTGTCATAAAGTCCTTTTTCTTGCCTTCAATTCACTGCCTTCAATTTGTATTCTTATAATGGGGCTTTAGGCTTTATTGTTAGCTTGCTTGTTCCTTCCTAGAAGTAGACACGGTGTAACTGATAGGAACCAAGCACATTTTAAACTTTTCAAGTGGATAAATGTTTTCCCAAATGTGTAATGAAACTTAAAAAAGTAAGGAAACTCAGAATGGGAAACTTTAAACCTATGAGAATTGACAGACTCTGATGTGTAGGCTATAGAGCGAGCCTGATTTCCTAAATATAAAGAGAAAAATCTTTAAAACTCAGTGGCCTACTTTCCAGACGGTTCTGTTCTTACTATGACGCAGGGAACAATAGACTCTTCCATACAAAGCTAGCACTAAGCTCCAACACCCAAAGGAAAAGCATATTGGTAAGAGTCTGTTGGTCTGTTTGAGTGAAAATAATAAAAACCATCCCACTGTGTGGCCATGTGGACTTTCTCCATTGTGTGTAATTGCGACACAATGGCCACAACAGTCTTTACCTTCGCAAAGGCAGCAAGAGAGGGCCCTGCAGTTGTCTCAGACACTCCGCCCACATTTCAATAGGCAGCTGGCTTTTGTTTTTAAAGCATTTTTTCCCCATAATTCTAAGACAGTATTTCCAAAAACAGGGTAACCACATTATGTTTTATTATGATCATGGGGAATGATTTTGCAGATGTGAAAAATAGAAAGGGCAAGCAACCCCAGTTCTGTTTGCCTCCTGCCTCTCAAAGGCTCATGGGTCTGGCTTCTCACTTGAGACTTTAGCCAAGAATTTTCCCAGTGTCAGCTCTGGGAAACCTCAGCTTCTTCCGGGAGAAAAGGTGGCCTGGAGACCCCAGCTGGTGGCAGTGGTGAGTGGGTGGACAGTTACGACAATGAGCGTGTGATTGGGGCCTAGCAGCCTTCCCTGGCAGGGTGCTGGGTATGTCAGAGAGTCCCAGAACTTGCGCTGTCCTCAGAGGGGAAAATACCACCAACCCTCACTTGCATAACATCTTTCAGGGGACCAGCATCTCTGAATAGTATTCAAATTTTAAAATGATTGAAAACCAACAGGCAAATGCTCTTTGAACGATTACTTTTTACTATAACTAAGAGAGTTCCTGAGGTTTCAATATATATCACACACATAAAGAATGGTGGGTTTACTTATTAATCTACGGAAAAAATCGTATGTGCAGCGCATTTTTACTCTTAGGATTGGGTTACAAATTATGCGTTGTGTGTGTGTGTGTGTGTGTGTGCGCGCTAGCATACACACCATATCAGAGGCAGAGTTCTAAAAGTAATAGGTATCAAATCAAATAGGTTATTGGATCACTCTCTGTCCACCCTCAACACTATAAATCTCATTGTTGCCTTAATCATTGGAAAACAAGCAGATTAGGGTTTTTAGAAAAGTAGTATGCATAGTATTTATATTGCTTTCCTCCTACCGAAGGAAACAAAAGTGCTTTGGAAATAAATAGCTTTACTTGCTTTATGAGTGGGGAAATGTTGGTACAGAGGGGAGATGAGGCTTAATTAAAATATTAATTAATTATGGAAACAAACCAGTGTTTTATGTAAGAAGATTGGCAATGGGTATGGTTGTACAAAATAATAAACTAGCTTGTTGACAGTGGGTAATAATCTATGAATCAAAAGATGCAATTTCCTCTTCCAACCCTCTTATATCACTTTCCCCATTGCTGCAGTGATTTGATTACGTATTGATATTTCTTTCTAACTAATGGAAGGCAGGGACAGCTTCTTATTCATCTCAACATCTTCAGGCCTGATATTGGCTGGCCCAGAGGAAGGGCCCAGCCAACATGGCGCTGAGAGAGGCAGCTGAGAAACCAGTGCCCACAGGGTAAACTTAGATCTCTTCAACTTTTAGATGGAGCACCCCCACCGTCATGCGTACGGCTTTGCTGGCAGTCCTGCGTGAGTCGACAGTGGTTGTGGGTTCACATTATCTCCTAATTTGCACTTTCACGTGTCTGTCTCTCGAACAAGTCCCCCATTACTCCTTGAGGGTTGAGTCTGTCCTATTCACCTTACATCCTCAGCCCTCAGCTCGGAGCCTGGCACAGAACAGACAATAAATGTTTGCCAAAGGAACAATTGAAAGAGTTTTCTCCACAAGGTAGTGGGCTATTGTCTTTATATGTAAGTTATATTTTCTAAAGTTTTCCCAAAGCCCATTTCTTTGCTGCCTTCCAATGCTGTGACTATTGTCTATGGGTCTCCATTTTGTGGGTAATGATACTGGAGAGGGAACAGGCTGTGGGGCTGGCCCCATAGAGCCCCCGACCGGCTGTTAATAATCCCAGGTTGGAACTCAGGCAGCCAGTGTACAGCCATGGACAGGATCAGTCACATTTCATCTCTGGATCTTGTCTAGAATAATTCATCATCCAAGATCATTGACTTTTCTGTTTAAACATCAAAATCTCTGGCTCCAAAGAGCAGCAAAGTCTTAATTAGTGAGGTTGAAATCTCTAGGTAAAGTGCTAGAGCTAAAACTTCCTGAAATTAGGTCATAATGTGCCATACCCTTGGTTTCTGAATGTGAACACCTGTGGTGAGTACTTGGCCTACCCCCAACTTTGATTCTAGTTTTGCTAGGCTCAAAAACTACCTTTGCATGTTTCCTATTTCCCTTTGACATAGGGGTACATATTTTTATGATTTTTCTATAAGGCATTTTGCTAACAACAGGGAAGTGCTGCTCATAAGTCTCATGGCACTTTTCATGTCTAGACTTTCTATTTGAAAGCTACACACCTGGTCTCTTGCTCACACTTTGTCGATCCTCTATTATGGCTCATTGCATTCATTCAACAAGCACTTACTGAGCATCACAGTGCCAGGCTCAGTGATGAGGTATATGAGTAAGTTTCAGTGTCTTTCCTAGAAATAGCTACAAATCATTGAGAAGTGTTTTGTAGTTGGGGTGTCCACCTCAATGATTTCCTCAGAGCCATGTTCATACTACCTCCCTGTGGAAAATACCCAGCAATGGAGCATGATGCGAGCCGACCACAGCACCTTATCTTTTATGCCATGTCATTGGTCCAACAGATTGGCTCATGACCCAAGCCAGCCCAGTCTTTTCTTGACTGAAACCGATAAAGAAAACATCTCTTATCTCTCGGGTTACATGGGTTTAAGGATGTACACCTGCAGTCACCAGCTTTTCTGCCCCTGGCCTCATGGAGAACACCTAGGATTTTCAGTAGAAGAAAATGATGGCCAATGCAGAGAGAAATAGAGGAGGCAGAGTCCTGACACTGTGACGTCTGTGGATGGAGCCACCCCTGAAGCCATCTCTACTCAGCCTTCCCTCGGGGTGGCTATATGTTCTCCTTCTTTGATCAAAGTAGTTTGTATTGAATGCTATTGCTTGCAACCAGAGAATTCTAAGACTCCATACGAACAGTTTATGGAATAATAGAAGATGCAAATAACTGTTTTATAAAGCGAGGACAGCCTTCACAGAGGTGAAGACAACCAAAGTTTGTCTTTTAAAGATGAGAACTTCCACCGCAGGATGAAAAGAAGGGCATTTCTGGGAGGCATAAGAGAGTCCAGTGCATTCGGGTGGAAAAATGAAATAATATGATTGGGGAGGGACAAGAACAGAAAAACGAGCCCAATTTGGATCCCAAGGGGGTTTCCTTGAATGCTTTTCTGTGGGGCTTGGATTTTGCCCTATAGGCAATGATTGGGAAGTCTTTAAAGGATTTTAAGCAGGGTCAGATTAATTTTTGAGAAATATAATTGGTCATGGTGATGGGTAGTTGAGAAAAGGGGAAAAGAATCAGCCCAGACAAGAGGTTACTACAGTGAACCAGGAAAGAAATGGTCTGCACGAGGGCCGCGCGGGATGGACCACAGAGCGCCGCAGTGTAGGCTGGAGGAATGGCTGCCCCATCAGACAGAGCGAGGGAGGAGAGGAGGCAGCTCCACATAGAACAGTCTGGGCTTCTCCCTGGGATGACTGGGGGGGGGGTGCAGGGAGGGGGGCAGAGATGCTGTTAATCAGGAAGGAAGGGCAGGTTTTGGGGAGTGAGGGGAGGTTTTGGCAGGCATAACAGCTGCCTCCCAGAACCCCCTTGGGTAGTGTTACTTTCTAAAATGTAGGTATGTGTAATATGCGGTTAACTTATCCTTCCAATACAGTTCAACAGACACAAAATTCATTTTATTGCTATATCTTACAACAGCCAGTTTGAACCACCAGTCATTTATTCAATTTTGTGGGGAAGGGGTATGTGAAAGTTGCCAACTCATTTCTCTACTTGATGAGCTCTCTATCTTTATGTGTGTGTGTGTGTTTACATTTCACTATTAGCATTCTTCACTCCTAAGGTCACCCTGATACTTGCTTCTCCCCCCATTAAGTGGCTTTCCTACATGCACCTATATTAGTCCAGGAAACACTCAGGCTGACAATTTAGGAAGCCTCCAACGTCTTTGGACCTCTGAAAAATTGTGGTATACAATGGGCTGCCTTTCACCTGCTGAGAGCCCTTAATGTTTGTTGTTAAGGATGTTTCAAAATAGGTGTCGAGCTTACTTTATAAAAGTCAAAGATAGAAATATTTTCTGCTTTTGGGCTTTGTATCTATGATATCACCTTTTTTTTCTTTCTCCTTTTGTTAGTGCATTTGTGAACATTTTTTTTTTCCCAGCTCTCTGTAAGCTTTTCTCAAACAGTGATGGAAGTCAACCAATCTTACACTCCAAATACAGGGGAGCTACTTCTCTAAAACACTGGAAGATAAACTGAGAGCTGGGTGACCTGGGTTCTCATAACAACTTTCTCTTATTATGAGTTTATGCTCTTGAATTGGTATCCAACCTCTTTGTGCTCAGTTTCTACATCTGGAAGAAGTCTTGGAAGGATAGTCTGAGAACAAATACCCGACATATATATGGGAGTACTCTGAGCTTTTCAGAAAGTCTTTGAAAGAATGTAAGACCACATGCTTAGCTACGACTGACTAAAATTCATCTGTATCAATTTATCTTTATGAGGGTAAAAGGAGATGAATAAAAACGCTTAGCCCAGTATTTGGCACATAGGTGCTCAATAAAATTGCAATTTTCAGTGCTTCCCTTCCTTCTTCACTCTTTTCTTGCCTTTTATACCTTCTTCCCTAAAATGCTTTTTAGCTTTTCTTTGCTGACTTATTCAGACTTGGTTCAGAACAATCTTCAATTTCCAGAAGCAAGACCTTATTTAATATTCTAGTATAATTACATTTGTGATGATGCAAAACTGGAAATACGACAATGTCACCATGCTTATATTGTATCCTTTTAGAGAACAAACAAGCTAGTAAGTCAACTGTCAATAGGCAGAAAGGAAAGTGACAGACCTTGAGAAGGTTCTGATTAGGGAAGCACATGGTGGTCCATCCCGGCCACACTGATTAAAGAGCTGGTGGTTTGGGACTAACTCGAGCTGACCTCCTACTGACTTTGTGCTGATGCAGGCAAGAGGCTTTCAGGCTTCTGCTTCCTCTTAGGGGCCATTGGGCCTGTCTGAATTTGGAAAATGCCTACGTTCTTTCTCCTGATGTTACAGAGTAATTCATGATTCTAATATTACACATTCTCATAAGTTTTTAAAAACAGACATGTTGTTATTAATAAGGAGAGATGTTTGGAGTACTCTCCAATAAATTAATCATCAAGTTGTTCTGAATAGAGGTAATTTTATGTCAATGATCTTGAATATCTTTATGCTTCAGAAAAGAATTTAAGTGACAAGACTTCGCAGGCAGCGTTGATCTCGGAACGCCAGCGTTGAGCCCCAGTGACAAAGGCTTGGCTATGTTTTTGCTTTCTGAATCCTCCGTCCTGACCCTCCACCCCTACGCGGTAAAAAAATGTCAGCCAGCCTCAAACCTTACTCAGTTACAACCTGTTTGTCCTATATAGATTAAATTTCTATGGCTTACATTTTGTTTTGTCAAGAAAAGTAAAATTAGATCCTCATATAGAAAAGGAGTTTTTACATTTCATTAGTTTCAAAGGAGGAATAAAATGCCTTCTTTTAAAACATAAGAATAAACAACAGTGGAGGCATTTGAGCTCGAGGAGTCCAACCAGGTCATTGGGCATTTCCCCAGTCCCCGGAGGAGAGAGCTCTCTGTGCCGGCAGATTACGAAGGGCTGACTGATGCTTGGCCGGGAGCAGAGACCTTTGGCGGGCTCGGGGCTCGGGGCTGGGGGCTCGGGGGGCCCTGCCCCAGGGACATCGCCCAGCCAAGTCCGATCTGTGTGTGAGCCGTGAGCCGTGAGCCGTGAGCCGGAAGCCACAGGCTGCCGCACAGCGGTTCTAATCCATCTTTTCTCTCCCTCTCTGCATCCGTCTCCTGTCCCCAGACTCTTTTCTAGAAGTGGAAGGAAATACCTTCAGGGAGGCCCTGGAGCTTTCAGGCACCCCGTTTCCGTATTTTCCTGAGATGATTCCACAGGCAAGTGGGGACCAGGTCATCGCTCCAACTCCTGCAGAAGGAAAACAAAAAGTTGATTGTTGCGCATTGGGATCAAACGTGTGGGGGTGTTTAAGTAGGACTTGGCTGGTTATGAGAAAAAGCTGGACAGATAAAAAGAGTTTCTACCAGCATACATCTTTCTTATTAAAACTAAGACATTTACAAACGGTGCTTTTATAAACCAATTAAACAGGCACAGTCAGTTATAGGGAGTGGGCTTTATAAACAAGCCTGATAATGTGGGTTATTCATGTCCAAACTTCACATTTCTTTTTACTCTCAGACACAAATACTTTTACTTGCACAGAAATTCAGCACTTGGCGTGTCCACTCAGTGTCTAAATAGTGCCTGGTACATACCAGGCACACAATGCCTAGTGCACAGTAAACATAATAAATGTTAACAACAGTAACAGTTGCTATTGTTGAAATTTTTTTAAATGCTTTTCCCCCTTATCCAACATTTTCCTGCTCATGTAAACCTCTTTCTTAGGAGGAAATTTATCTCTGGAAACAGTTGTTTTTTTTTTTTTTTTTAAATAAATAAATAAATAAATAAGCCTGAAAATGTGGCTGATTCATGTTTTTCTGAGCTCCAATATTCTTGTATATATGTTGTGTATATGTTTTCTCTCCACTCTTTGAAATCATTATGTCTTCCTACACAAACATGTAGTGCCTGGCTCGTGAGTTGTTCTTGAATTCCTCTAGTCTGGCTCAGTTCCAAGCACAGAGTGGAGACATAGATGTGTATATCCACATTTTTTTGAAAAGCCAGTTGTAATCCACTCAAAGATGCATGCTTTGGCTATAGCAAGCACCCTATGAAAAATGAGTTTGTTTATGGTTTCTTCCCTTCATTCTGTATACAGTTTTTGAACAGCTGCTGAGTACAGCTTACACACCAGTCACAACTTACTGCAGCTGCCCTGTTTGCATATGTGCACACTTGATTCTTCTACAGCCTCTGGAATGCTCAGCCCTTACATCCCTGTGTCAATGAGGGGCATGTAGGAAAGCATTTCAGTAACTCTTTTTTTCAGATCACTGGGCCTTCTGTTGTTAAAAAATAATCAGTAAATTTGTGAAAATTACCTATTTTGTGGTAGAGCTCTGGTAGCTGAACCTCTACTTTCTCTCTCTGGAAAAGATGGTACTCAGCTTGCTCACACACTGGAGGGATCATATTGAACTGTCGTGCTACAGAATAGGCTTCCTAGGGAGAAATAAGATTGCAACTGGATTTATACTGATGAGAAATAAGACTGCCCTGTGATTCATATGCATGAGAAATTTTCATTTTAGTAAAATCAATACAAACCAAGAAACATGTACGATGCCAAATAATAAACAAAGTTATGACCATTGGTTTCAATAAGAGCAACACCAAATGTAAGAAACCCTTATTATTCTTCAGGAGGGTTTGAACTGAGTCAAGCCCAGGGCAAATTGGTCCAAGTGTAGATTAGGGACTATGATAAAGAAAGTGCAGTTTGACTATTTTTAGATTTCTAAAGAAATGAAACAGACTGATACCTACAGATGATGTGTAATTAGTGTGTGATAAACAGTACAGCTCTGAAAATAGAGTTTTTAAAGAAAACTAGACTATTGTGTTCATATATCTCATTAGCTAAGAAATTTAATTTGCTCCTTTGCCACTGAAAACTGCTAAAAACATGATTCCTGCTAAAGACCTGCACCCTCCCTGTTGTCCTCCAAGCTGATGAGATCCAGCCTCCATATCCATCTCTGTAATGATGGAATTGATCAAAGAATTCTAGTGCCACGGTGACTGGGAGGAAAGATTGCAAGAGGTCTTGTGATTTACACATGGTGTCTGAGGAACAGCGCAGGCACACCTCAGAGATGCTGTGGCTTCAGTCCCAGACCACTGCAATGAAGTGAACCTCACAAGGTGACTTGCACACATTTTTGGCTTCCCAGTACATATTAAAGTTATGTTCATACTCTTCTTAGTCTATTAAGTGTGCAATCACATTATGTCTAAAACAAAACAAAACAATGTAACAATGTACATACTTTAGTTAAAAAAATACTTTACTGCTTAAAAATGCTAACCGTCACTGGAGCCTTCACAAGAGGTAATCATTTGTCTGGTGTATGGTAACATTGAAGATCACTGATCACAGAGCACCATAACAAATACAATACTAATGAAAAAGTTTGAAATACTCTGAGACTTACTAAACTGACCCAAAGTGAGCAAGTGACATTGGAAAACTGGCACCAATAGACTTGCTTGATGCAGGGTTGCCGCAAAACTTTAATTGGTAAAAAACATCGTATCTGCGAAGTGCAATAAAGGGCAACAATCCCTGTAATAAGATGTCCAATAGCCATTTAACGATGGAAATGCAGTTACCATGATCTCCATGGCACTCCACCGCGAGGTCCCCCAGTACATGGCCATGCCTTGGTTTATCACATGTGTCATGGCTCGAACAATTTCTGTGGAAAGAAAAACAGAGATCTTACGTTATGTGGTCTTTTCAAAGTTATGTGGTCTTTTTTTTTTCTTTTCCCTTGCCTAAGGCTTAGAAGTTTAATCCAAGTATTTGTTTGATTAATATAATTGCTTTGACATTGGTGACAACATAATAGTCTACCATGAAATATTGATGGTGTGGAGGCTGATGGTACTTTTGGGTAAATTGACTTTCCATTTCCATTTGCAGCAGCAGCACTAAATGATATTAAAAACATAATGAGCACTTAAAGTTCTTCCTTTATTTTTATTGCTTCATGGTTCCTGGCCTGATAAAGGAACTCATGATTAACCTCCTTAAGAACCTGGGTACTTTGCTCACTAAAGTGAGAAGTAAGAGACAGCATTTGTTTTGACTTTGTAGAATGTTAAGGTCACCGAGAATAGAAGGCCTGCCTTTGTGTGTTGGATTTGCAGAGCTGGGCCTCACACAGGGTGGCAATATAATAGCGATGACTCAGCAACAATGAATTTAGCAGAAAGATAAACACATTAAATGCAGAACAAACAGCTGAAGCCACAGTGGCTCCCAGCCCGCAATGGCACTCCTTGTCCTTGACCACTTTGAACCAAATTTTATTCTAAGACAACCATGTGGTAAGTTTCACCGGGGCCTGTTCAGAGCCCCACCCAGTTTGCTCATCAGTCTCTTTTGGCTTGACATCACGTTTCCTAAAGAGGACAATGAATCCCTAGAGAGGGAGAGCCCAGCTCATCCTTTGGCACCAACCAGCTGTGACGCAGAACCAGAGAGCATGGAGAGCCTCAAGTTCAGCTGAGTGAGAAGTCACAGTCATGGTTGCATTTCTTCCACAAAGCAGGTCAGCCAAACACTGAGGATGCTAGGTCAGTTGACATTTTCAAGGGTTGCAGACCTTAGCTTCTCTGTGTCTGCCTAATACGTGTGGGTTAAACGTCCTTCAGAAGACTCAAATCCTGGTTTCGAAGTCAAGTTGTGGTAGATGTATTCTTATGTTATTTATCACAAACAAGCACGATCTAAATTGATAGGGGACAGGGTTTGGAATATGACAGCAAGGTTAGGGTCTTAGCTTCCTTGCTTGGTTTATGGAAACCATTTTAAATTGCCCTTGGTTTCTTTCTGGGGAAGATGGGAATGTTTTTATTCACCATTGTCTACCCAACAGTGGTAGAATTTAGTTTATAAGCAAACTAAAATAACTCAGCAAGAGAAGCTAGGAAGTTTATTCTCCCTTTATAAAGCAAATTAGATACACAAAATTATATGACACATTTTTCTTATGCAAACAGGCGATAACCATTTCTGAGAGTTGAAAGCCCCAGAGGTGTTCTCTCCCTTTGGACATCTCCATGGTTGCCCTGCTCCTTCTCCTTTCCCCTCCTGTTCCATTCAGAGCTGAGGAATTCATTCAATTAACAGTATTTATCAATTGTCTGCTGTGCTGGATGCGGGGGATATTGTGGTGAATCAAACATATTGGTGAACACTGTTGAGGTTCACACAAGATGCTCCCCTGTCTCTAAGTCTGTAATCAGGTGAGATGAGCACAGAACACATGGGATGGGGGTCAGGGGCAAAAGAAGGAAGATGGAGGAAGGCAGAATTGGGTGGGAAGGCCATTTCTGCAAGATGGGGGACCCAGAGGTGTGTAGGACGCATCACAGGAAGGCATGGGAGCTCCTGTTTGATGAATTCTATTCTCAATAAATGATTAGTCATGTGAAAATGAGGTGGGTGTGAAAAGTAAGGAAAAGAAGAGGATAAATAGTTCTGAGTGTGGAAGACTCCATGCTTGACACTCCAATCCCCAGGTACTTGAGTTGCTGGTAATTTCTTTCTCCCTGATCTGTTTGGCCTCTGACCCTGCAGAGAGGAGCTTGGTGGAATATTGAAAGGAGAACTCCAGGAGTCCCTTTTCCTTTGTCAGAAGCAAAATAGTTTTCTTTGTGAACCATCTATAATGGAAATGGCATTGCAAGATTTGTAGTTGATTAATCACAGTATTACAATTTGAAAAAGAGCCAAAGGACAACAAAAATTGTAAACTGGGCCACATGAACAAAGCCAGGTCTCTCTTTTCTTCTTATTTTGCCTTAATTGGACAAAGACACTTCTCACAAGTTCTGAGGAAAAAGATGTCTTTAGAACCAAATTGATGGATAATAGCACAAATTACCCCTGTAATTGTCCCTAGGAATTATTTAAAAATAGGATGTATAGAAAGAGGAAAGGACAAGAGCTCTTATTTTCATTTTTCTTTTATTTGTAGTAAAAGCTTTAATCTAGGAGTTCTTATCCTAGAGGAGGCTGCAGGGAGACATTACGGGAGATCTGAGAGGCCGCACTTGGAGATTCATGTTGCCAGAAAAGTAAAATTTAATTTAATATGCATTATTTTTTTTTTAAATGTCAGAAAAATCCCCCAAGTGTTTAGCTAACAGGAAATTGCCATACTGATGGCTGAGATGGGGTTTTAGGTGATTCTGCTATTTAAGAACACTAGAGGGCAGCATTGTTGAGAAAAAGTCTAAAATTCTGTTGTTTTTTTACTTGTGTGTCATGGAAATGCATTTAATAAGCATAGTCACAGCATCGATTCTGAGTCCAGAGAAGACAATAGGAAGATGACTTAGTGCATTGCATTCACCTGTTCCTGGGAAAGAATACACAGGCAAACATTAAACCTGGCAACCCAGGACTGAATGTGACCGCTCTGCTTTTCCAGGAAGTCCTAGCACTAGTGGTTCTCAGCCCTGACTGCATGTTCAAATCTGGGCTCCATCTATTATAATAAAAATCTCTGGGGGTGAGGCCTGGCATCAATCCTTTAAACACTCACCCCTGGTGACTCCAGGGTGCAGGCAGGGTTGAGAACCACTGTGCTCTTCTACACCAGCGCTCCCCAGCGGGGTGGCCGCGCCTCTGGGGACTTGTTAGAGATGCAAATCCTAGGGCCTCACCCCAGACCTACTGAATTACAACATCTGGGGGCCATGGGACCAACAGCCTGTTTTAACCAGCCCTCCAAGCAATTTCGGTGCAGAAAAAAGTTTGAGACCCACTGCTTCATACCATTCCCAAGTAAGCCGTTTCAGTGGGTATAAACTTCCTCTCACTGTTCCTTTCTGCTCTTTCATCTAATCTGAATGCTTCATGCTCTAATTAAACTTTTAATTCAGTTATTTGCTTTAGGAGATGTGTGAACAGGTAGTCACCACGGCATGCACGCACTCTTGCACGTGCGTGTGCACGCACACATGCACTTTGGTGTGAATCAGGATCACCTGAGCAGAGCGGACGACCCCCCACAGAGCTGCAGGTCCCAGCCCACTTGAATGAGCCTGGGCCTTTGTGTTCTTTTCATTAGCTCTCAAATCTCAAAGTTTGAGAAACACTGTCTAAACTATAAAAACAAAAACAAAGACAAACAAACAGAAAAAACAACAACTGTGTTAAATTTTCCCGGTGCACTCCTTTCCAGGTTGAAATAATCATTGCTCTTCTTTAGTCTGCAGGCCTTGGGCAGCTCTCTCTCCTATTCCCTGAATCCTAGCACACAGCTGGCCATTGGTACATTTTGCAAGTCAGTTTTGCTTCTCTAAAGATTCCATTTCCCCATCATAAAGTGAGGATGATATTGATCCTGTGGAATCCTTTCAAAGTTTGACACGACATAATGTGTTTACACTAATTTGAGACTCTAAAAGAGTAACAAAAACTGAGAAACAAAGAAGCAGGATGTGGCTCTGGTTGTTTCTTCTGGTTGTTTTTTCTCAAATAGGCCCAGATTCTAACATCGTAGTTACAAAAAAAAAAAAGTTGACATTCTCCTTTTGGTAATGTAGGTCATCTATATTTTAAAATATGTATTTTAAACTAGAAGCCTTAATAAAACTTTAAGTGAAAACAATTTTGGGGGTAAACATTTTTAAAATTGTCCGTCATGCAAAAAACAAACAAAAAACCAAAACCAAAAACAAAAAAACCAAAATGGTTGCTCACATTAAACTTTTGTTTATGGGAAATATTCCTTAGAACTTCAAAAGCTGTAAGCAGATAGTTATACTGCATGAACCATAAGGACTGAAGATAAATATGCAGAAATTAGTGTTCTGATAAAATGTACTCAAGCTCACCTGGCCATAGAGACACAAAATAATAAAAACAAAAGCTACGTTAGACACATCCCACTGTCATTTCCTCTTACTCTAGAGGAGGAAATACAGGCTAGGAGTTCGTTTTTTTAAGGCATAATTAGAAGTTTGAATATTATTAATAATTATAACTATTTCAAATATAATTACAAAATGCCACGAGCGAATACACAAGATAATAATTGTACTACATAGTGGAGCTATGTGACTTTGTTCTGTATTTTCCAAGTTTCTGCAAATGTGTGTTATCATACTTTTATAATCTAAAAAAGAAAGAAGAAAGAAGGTTCCCTAATAAGCAAAGGCACCACTTTAAAGCACTAACATGTTAGAGGTTAATTCACAAATATTAGATTTAACGAAATGAAATTGCCATTTTTAGAGGTTAAAAATTGTTGACTATTGACAGTGTCATTCATGTGGGTCAGCCTCACCGCTGTCAGATCCTCCTTCCTCAGAGGAGAGCAGTACAGGGGTGGACGGGGCACTGGCAGAGGCGGGGGCTTGGTTTCACCGCAGGAGTTGCTGTGAACACTGCTTAAAAAAACAAACAGATCTAGGCCTGGGCACAATTTTTACTCCAAACCAGCTGTTCGTTCTTTATTTAGCTAAACCTGACTTATTTATTAACTTCAGAAGCTTGGGGTGGTGCTGGTTTCTAACTGTGCCTCTGTATGTCTTAAAGGGTTTTTCTTGATTCTTTATCAGTCCTTTATCTTCTTGCCTTTGGAGAATCCTTCCTCAGTGCTCAGCGGAGTGTCTGGAGATAGAAAACTCTTATCCTTTCTCACAGGAATGGAACTCACACCTGTAGAGGAAGCCACAC